ACAAACCCGATGAGAAGTGATTTTACGCTGATATATCTCCCGTGGCTGAAGGACAGGAAAGAAGGGGGAAAGGATCATTAAGAAAGATGAATTATCAGTCTAAGTGGGTTTTCCCTATAGTAGGTAGTAGTTTAACGTCCAGATATTCCACAACAAAGTAAATTTAGGCTGAAAATTTAAATATTCACAAGAAACACTGCTTCTTTCACATATAACAAGGTCTCCCAAAACACTACAGGCTGTTAATTTACACTTAGGTGTTTAAATTAATCCATATTGATGTGGTAATACTGGGCAGTGCTACTGACATTCACAGCGTTAATGCCTATTTTTTTTTTTACATGTGCTTTGTGTCTGCTGCCTTTTGTAGAATAAAGGTTTCTAAATCAAATTTCTTCAGATGCATGGAAAAAAAAATAAATTGTCAGCCTTGAAAGCCAGGTCCCTGAGTCTTAGAGCAGACATGATGAGACGAGTGAATAAATGCAACTTTTCCTAGGACCTCCTGATCTGTACTACCCCTGCCTGGAGCCAAGACATAAGAACAGTCAATCGAATTTCCTAAATATATAATAAACCTCAAAACACAGCCTTTCTACCTATTCCCACACTAAAGCAAGGACTCTCTTGCTGTGACCTCTAAATGAATCCCAGGCGCAGTCTTTAACCTCCATCACTTGGACTGAATAAGAATTGTTCACTGATCTCCCGATGACCTAACTAATAGCAATTAGATGTTTTCCACCAGATCACCATGACAATGGACTCTCTATTACACCATTCCTTCCTGCAACTAGCCCTAGGGTGGTATTTGTACAGATCCACCCTCTCTTGCTGAGATCAGGTGCTTGAGGAGTGGCACAACAGGCCTGCACAAGCAAATATCACACAAAGCCAGCTTCTGCTGGAAACCTGGAAGAATCCCGGAGATCAGAACAATATTTCAGTTATGTTTGCAGAATCCACCCTCCTAGGAAAAAAAAAAAAAAGTTCATGCAGTATGCTACACTTCAGAAAATCCTACCCCAACAGCCAGCACAGCTTGAAGTCCCAACACACAGACCCTGAAAACATTTGTTTGACCAGCTGTCTACTACGTCTTGCCTGCCAGGAGAGGCACACAGCACCGAGCCCACGCCAAACAAGCGAGTAGGGGCACAACGGGGAGTTAATGGGATTCTTGTGGGGTAACAGGAGCTGGGCCGTGGGAGGGAATTTAATGGGGAAGGCAGGAAAAGCACCCCATTTTTGTAAGGGAAGGCTACCCACTCAACTGGAATCGGGCTCCCTTAGATAAATTTGCACCAATATGGCACAAATCAATTAAGAACCAGATCCAAGTCCCCTCCTCCACTCCAGTTCAGCCCCGGATGCTGCTGCAAATACAGTGTTTGCCATCCTACAGAAGCTGTTCACAAACTATCACGTGCATGGCACCAGTACGATTCTTTCTGTCGAGGCAGATTTTAGATGCCCTGCCATGCTCAGCTGTGCTGGATGTTTCCATTTTCATCCATATTGATACTAAAAGAGTTCTGAAAAAATTAAGTTTCATGTTTTATGTTCAAGTTCTCACAGATGCTACTGCTAAGGAGTAATAATGGACAGAGGCTGTAGGACCTCAGAGGAGGAAGCCTCAAGAAAGCCCAGATCTCTGCACTGCAGAATGGCCGTACCCTGCAAACCATGCCATGCACCCACATGGGGTTTTGTACCACGCTCTGAAAAGGAGATTCCAGTCAGGGGGTCTGGAAAAGAAAAAAAAAAAAAAGGAAAAAAGAGGTCTTTGATGGCTGTAGTCTGAATCCTCAGAGCTACAGGGATGTACCTCCTGAATGGCAGCACCCATGTAGAGCCTTCCTACACTCTAACGGATGCAAATTGTGTTTACATCTTTCAAGCAATTGTCCCTAATGCTTCCTGAGTTCTGAGTTCTGCCTTGTGGGTATCACCTGGATTTAGGGACATTTTTTTCCCCTCCCTACATCATCTTCTTTGGTATGTAAAAACGATGCCACCAGGAGTGCTTTCCAGCCTTTAGTTTTTGACAAGTCAAACCAACTTCACCACCCCCCAAACACACACACACACCTTCCTTCTTCTACCTGATCAAGTGGAACTTTGGAGTTACTGATTAAACATTTCAGCGTCTTTTCTGTTCGTTACTTGCTTCCTCCAGGTTGTTACCTCACCATCGCAGCCCGCCAGCAAGGGCAGCTTCTCAAATACATTCCTGTTTGGGGATTGTTTTATTTTTTTATTATTACTTTTTTTTTAAATACACACACACCACATGCTGCCTCCTCTGCACAGATTTTCTTGTCTGTGGTCACCCACAAAGCTAACCAGATCTTCAGGAAGCATAGAAACAAGGTGAAGATCCACTTTTCCATGACTCCTACAGGAAGCATGACGACAGTTAAAAAAACTTGAAGAAACATTTGGAACTGTTTATGCAGCCTTAAATTTTTTTTTTTTTTTAAAAAAGAGAGAGAAAGAAACAAAAACAACCCAAAACACAAAACTCAAACATATTTCCAGGATGTGACCAAGTCGTCACCTTGATTGCTCAGCGTAGGAGTACACGACGTGCTTCCGAACAGCGCTGCTTTGAACTGCCACTCTTCCACAAGGCCCTAAGTGCACAGAGGATGCTAAAAACAAACATGAAGAGCATCACTCTAAATTACAGCCTTATAAGATAAAATTCTATAAACAGAAGAAATGTAAACACCAATTAATCCCTAATGAATGAACTATTTCATACACACGCTCCTGACTCCTTGCAAACCAACAGGCTCTCAGGGTCTGCCGTGTACATCTCAAATGCTGCAGTGGATTGTTTCTTCCTTCTGAATCTCCCATGAAAGACACACTCCTCTTCTGCTGACAGGGCTTCAACCGCTCGTGTCTTCACAGCACTGCTCTGGCTTGAAGAGTCTACCATCAGGAAGTCAGCTGGAATCTGCTAACTCAATCCTTTTAGGTAATTTAACTACACGTGCCTCAAGAAAAGAACAGTCAAAAAGTTGAAACGTGGTGAAGTGCAGATCAATCCAAGAGTTTGGGGGGAGCAGAGGAGCTGCACAGCTCCTTTGTACAACCACGTTACATGAGACGGGGAAGCCAAGAGGAAGCGACGCCCGTTCGCTTGCAAGAACACTTCAGGATAAATAAGGAAATACCAAACTCCGACTGCAAAAGGCTGGAGATTCTTCTCTGGACTGATACATGGGAAATCCTTTCAATAGGAAACCACAGGAGTAGATTACTGTGATTACACTTCAAAAGCAAAGGCCCTGCCACAGAGAGATATAATTGAGAGAAAGTGTTGCTCCTTGATCACTGAAGTCCAGACCCCCTGCTTACATCTCCTTGCATTCATAGAAACTGCTTCTATTCTCCCTTCAATCTCAGTATCTCTGCTGTTTTATAACACTCTTAAGTACCAAAACTTGGCAAAATATCGTCCTATCACCACTCAAACTTTCAAAAGCAAAGTTTGGGACGGTGTGTAATGAAAGCGACCGTAAGCTGGTGCTCCAGAGAAACTGCTGAGCTTTCGAGAAAATTTAAGGTATTTCTAGACTAAGAGTTTGCAACAGCAAGTTCAAAGCGAGCTTAAAGTGACGAGTTCAAAAGTTCTCCAAATCAGAATGTGGAGGAAAAGGATGTCAGACCCCTAAAATGAAATGGCACCATGAAAACCAGCTATGCTTCAAAAACAAGGCTGGAGTTTTCCTGAAAAAAAAAAAATAAAAAAATAAAAATAAAATCAACCAACCTTCTAAGCAGACGAGAGGATTCCACAAACAACTGTTTTCAGATTTTGTCCAGCAGAAGAGAAATTTGGCCTCTTGAAAGAGCAGTTTGGTTAAACTGGAGGGGACTTGCTTAATGGTCCCAGCAGGAAAACGAGTAAAGGGAAGAGGCAAATCCCATTTCAGAAGCAAAAGCCAAACCCTCTGCAGCTGTACAGAAAAATGTAATTCTGACTTTGGCCATTACCTTATTACATGTTTGTATTTTATTATGCCAGAGGAAGAAAAGGAAGAAGAATCATTTACTGAACTCTCCAGTTTCAAATCAGCGTCATTCAGTTATTGGCAAACGTGGGTATTGGCCATGACTGGTTTCCTCAGCTGCCCAAAAAAAAAAAACCCAGAAAGGCCAAAAAAATAATAAAAAAGTCCTAAGCTCTCACCTTGGATCTGAAATCTTTTCCTGACCAGATTTGTTGTCCATTTTTTGTAATAAAAAATAATAAAAAGCATTACTGGCTGTTTAACCGAGAGAAGCCCTAATTGATTCCCACAGTAATTAACCTGCATTTTACCTCGGAGAGTGGTAGTTAAGGAAGTCGGCACTGCTATTTATAACTCATCTCAAATTGAGGGCAGACTGCCTAAAATCTAACACATCCCAGCTGTACTCCTGTTTGAACTGGGGCCAAGGGAATTTTTTAAAGCAATCTTGGCACTGAATGAATGACACCAACAGTATGAGCGCGCGTGTGGTTGTGTTGTGGTGACGTAGCAGTGGAGGTGGAAGGGGAAGGGGGGGCAGCACATCGTAATCCCTCTCCCAAACCCGCTCGCCGCCTCACAGGCTGGGCCCCGGCCACGGTGCAACGCCTCGGAGCCGCCCACCGAGAACCAAACACAGGAAACATCTTTTCCTGTGGAACGCCTTGAAGTGAGAAGCACATGGCTAATCTGCATAAAAGCAAAGCCACCACCACTCCTGCCAGGAAGGTTAGTGCTCGTAATCTCTGGCCATGG